CCCTCCCTCCCCCCAAAAAAAAAAAAAAAACAAACAAAAAAAAACACAGAACTTCCCTCCCCCTAAACAAACCACGAAAGAAAAAATTAAAATTAAAGCCACAAAATAATTAAGTGTCTGAACATCTTTCCTATATGACCGAAGAAAAAAAAGGAACCTCTTGTCAATGGCATGAAAACCTCAGGCTACCCGCGTGCAGATATCTCTTCAGCTGACGCCACTAAAACAGAATTATATGCATTTCTTTTATCTGCTCTTCTTTTTGCCTCTCTTAAATTTCAAGCTTTTAATAGAGAGTGCATTTGAAACGCTCTTGCCTTCAAGCTTCTTTGTGAGCTTTACTACACTAGCCATACCTTTCCGTGCAGCTGCCCGATGCTCTGGCCTACGGCTTACCATCTTGCGATCAAGTGGCCAGTAGGCATATGGCTCAAGCTTGTCTTTCCTCTTTACATCCCCACCTGCCTTCTTGCTAGTATATTCACACCCCGTGTAAGCCCACCCAGACCCCAAAGCTTTCTTGCGCTTCTGGGTTTTTCTTGACTTTACGGATAACTGACTACTTGCTTGACTCCTTCCATCAGAATCAGGATCAGGGGACCTCTCTCTCTTTAGTTTCTTCCCTCCCTCATGAATTATCAGGCGCCCTTCAGAGTCTATTTCAGGCTCATCGTCTGATTCAGGCTTCCATTTGAGATGCTCAGATGATCGAAGAACTGACCTAGTTTTTTGCTGGTCAAGCAAGTCAAGTGGCTCATCGTCTAATTGGTCAAGCACGTCTCCTGGCAAGCTCTTGTCTACCTTACGTGTCCTCTTGGACCTGGCAGAACACATATAACTCGTCAGTTCAGATCAATAGATTGCCTATGCAGACAGAAAGGCTGTTCTCACACATAATTTGGATGGTAGAAGGCTAGCCAAAGAACATATCAGGCCAAACAATTTGTAGTAGCCAGGTTGCAAACCTGGAAAAGAAGTTGATCTAACAGTTTGAAATAGCACAGTGAACTTCAGGATGAGGCAGAACAAACTATTACAATACTATGTCCCAAAAGGACTTTCCACACTTCCAAGGGATGGTGTGCATATGAAAGCCTAGTAGGTTTTAGATGTCTCACTCACCGTAATGAGGATGCTTTAAAGAGTGAGGAAACTTTGCTCTGTCGACCTGAAACTGTCCTTGCATCCATGAAATCTGCATCGCTACTATTGGTTTCTTCTTCCCCAAAATCAGAAAATATTTTTGTATGATTCCATCTGCTTAGCCTGTAAAGAGATTGCTAAATCACAGCACACTGCTAAAATGTACAATGCCATACAGTTTTAAAACAAGATTTACAAGTGATGCTATATAATATAAAGAAAAACCATTCTCTTCATAAGAGTGTCACTCTTTGGAATTGTGCGATCATGACAACTTTTTGGGTCATATCAAAAGAGAGGAATGCAAGAATCTTTGAAGCAAGGATCAAAATTTCGTTTCGCTACATTATTTTGGTTAAATAGGAAACAGAATCGTTTCGATGATTTTCAAAAAAGTTTCAATCCATTTCGGAAACAGAATGAAAAAAATAAGAATTATTTTTTCAAAATATTAATCGAAATAAATCAAAATATCTTGAAATACCTTGAAACATTATAACACAATTGTGCAAATGCATTGAAACATTATAAAATACTTTGAAATATTATAAAACACCTCAAAGTATTAGAATTTGATTCCATCACCGATTTGTTTCGATCTCCATGGAAACAAAAACGTTTCAAATATTTCGGTCATTTTGAAACAAAATTTTGAACCTTCTTTTAAAGATCGGTGTGAGTGGTTAGATGGATTATGGGATCGGATTCATTTATTTCATTATTTTGGGCTTCAGTTTCTAAAGATTTCAAAGGAATCCCAGTCTTTATTATTTTATCGAGATGGAGAGCTTCATGTAATCTATAAACTTTTTATGTTGTGGTTGGATTTCTTGTCCAATCGCCTTTCATGTAATTCTGCTTTTATTTTAATACAATAAGTTTCGTTTCCTATCAAAAAAAATATATATATAAAGAAAAACCATAAAAGATTTCTCCTTAAATTGCATGGAAAACCTTCAGGACTCACTAAGCAAAGGGGCTGCACATTGTGGCCACGTATATTCATTGAAAAAAAAACACTCATGATTCCCTTATTCGTACGAATTGGGAGAGCTAACTGAAAATTTTCATGATGAAAAAGACTTATTCATAACACATTATCAACATGCCGATTTCACCTATACACAAAATGATGCACCCGAAAGGTGGCTGGGCAATAATGCAACCATTTGGGGAGATCACACTTAAAAACGAGACTGTTTAAAGCTTGTCATTTGTGCCTCAGAGCATGAATTCCCTGAGTAGATGTGTTGGTGACGGCGTGTTTGGTCAAATGTACATATAATCTTTGCATATATATGCTTGAATGAGAGACAAACCTGGTTGTTGTAGCTTTTGAGTGATGAGATCTGGTTTCCTCAGAGTTAGCAGCATGATTCCTTTCTTTCCGCTCCTTGATCTACATTTCAATAAGGAAAAAAAAATTACTTTAAAAAAGGAATTTTTTTTTGCCCAAAAATCGTAATGAAAAGGAAATCTTAATAAAATATCAGAATATAATATACTGTAACAGACCTTTCGTATATTAGTAAGGAGTTTCATGTGCTCTTCGGGCATGACTGCCTTAACAGCATCCAAACCACACTTTTTGACAAGCATTTCAAGAAGCAGCTTAACCTATAGAGACAGAGTCATCAAGCAATTTCTAAGTCACCTGATATACGTACATATTGATCAAATACCAACAATTGACCAATATAGCCAAAGTATAGACAACTCGATATTAAAATTAAATTCCATGTATTGTACAAAGGCAAAAAATGGATTCTAAGGAGCTAACTCTAATTAGTCTCAAAAGGCTTTGTTGAGTTTTGTAGACAGTAAAAACCCACAACAGCTATGACCAAGAAGCAGACAGAAAGGAAACACAGACCTTAGCTTTGAAATGGTTCTTGGCACCATCCTGCCAATATAGCAGACCTTCCAACATGCTCCTCAAGTGTGTTTGCAAGCCTTCAGCGGGTGATTTGGCTACCAATACCTTCAATAAACCTAAATTAGCCTGCATTAAAAGAAGATTTTCAGAAAGTTAATCTTATTACTAAGATGTTAAAAAGGGTAACAGACATAATTTAATAAATTAAGATTGGGTTTATTCAAAATCCAGTTATGAAAGACCAATAGCTAAATCTAGAAGCAATCGTAACTAACTTTAATTATCTCTCTGTTCTTTCTCTGGAGGAGGAGAAATGTGGCTGGAAGAATATCATAAGCAGTAGAAATGAGATCGGCAAATTCGTAAGCTAGGCGAGCTAAGCCTTTTACTGCTGCACTGATCATATGAGGCGTCTCACCAGCCAAGCCTCCGGCCACCTATGGCCAATGAAAAGTAAGCGTCACAACTTCAAAATAAACCAACGATAGGTATTTTGCAATAGAATCGGAAAAGAACTTTTACCATATTGAAAAATTGATGCAGAACTTCCTTTTTTCCACCTTTGTCTTCATCCCCACAGGCATGGCCAATTTGAACAAGAATATCATATGCTCTGTTCCTTGTCTTTTTATTAGCCTGCCATTAAAATACTTAAATAGGTGTTAGCATGCAGAATTCATATTACGAAGCCCAAACCCATTACATGCAACACAAAGACCCCAGGGGGGAGGGGGAGGGAAGCAAGAGATTTGCAAAGCCAGATTACAGTTCTTCATCTAATAATAGTGTCATTCCTTATTCCGACAATTTTGACAATAGTCTGTCATCTCCTGACACAAAAATATTCCAATGACAAACTAACCCTGCATAGCAAAAAAATTTGACAAAGAGCAGTCTGCTATTGCGTAACACGAAGTACTTCAAAGAATCAAAGGGACCACCTGAGTTTTTATTAGCACAGGCCTTGGCACAAAAACCAATTGCAAGATATGATACATTTAATTTGATAACTCTCAAAGAATTAGTAGCAATATATGGTAATAAAACTAATAGAAGAATAAGTAAACCCTAAAAATTATGGCAAAGAATAAAAATCAAAAGACAAAGCCACCATTAACAAACTATTAACTTGTGGCAGGTTGTTATAGAAAAATCAACCTTTCGGAGCAGAAAGCACACAGCATTATCATACTGAATAGGCAGCATAGATCCCTGATATCATTAATGGGACTGAATCCTGTAATTTTTATAACGACAAGGAACCTGTGACTTCTCTCATTGAAAATTACAGGCTAGCTATAGCTGTGATCCATCATGCATGATGGATGTATGCCTCTTCAAATACAAAAACATAATGTAGAAGTCAGGGGAAGACTTGAGCAACAAAGTAATAAGGCAAAAGGCATCGCACCGATAGACACTAAATTTACCACATTAATGGTTCAATCAGCAACAAAATGAACAAACCCAAATCAACAAATAATCACCTCCATTTAATTTCCAGTTCCAGCAGGTATTATATATTACCTCTTTCAGTGCAAGTATAATTTCAGTTAGGAAGGAGGATATGATGTCATCCCTCCTTTGTTTGGAGTTGTCCTGCAGGAGAAACCATAAACTGCTAGGTTAAAATAATGCAACCTACTTATCATATGTGACATATTCTAGATTAATATCTGTTCACTCCGTTGCATGATTACAGAAAATTCTGAATGAAAAGGCAATGAAAGTGCTCATAACCTTGGAAATATGGACAATTAAGAAGTACAAACAGTCAAGCCTGTGGCGTTTGGCTGAAAAATGAGACGAAGGCAGCACTTCAATCATCAGATCAAGCAGCTCCTCCAGCTTTCCCGATATAAATTCATCACGATTCTTTCCATTTAATCCAGCAAGATTATCAGCCTACATACATATCTTTTCTGATAATTAGAAAAAGAATAGATGAAGAATGCTTATCTATGACAAAATTCAGTAAATGCGAGCACATCCACAAATTTCTTTGACGGTAAGCTTATTGTATATAGCCAGTGAAATGAACATGCAGATCAGTAACTTCAGCTACCATTTTTGACAAGCTAAAGCTTCTTTAACTTACATGACAAATATTTGAATTTGATCTTTTAAAGAATGCATTTATTTTCCTTTGTAGAAAGGTTTGGGAGCCACCATTTCTTGTTCTGCTACCAAATATCATGACTAAATCTTTACACAAGAAAATTAAATTTATACACATACGACTGGGTATAAAAAAAAAGGCCAATTTGCTTGATGGTCACTCTGTACACATTGTATATTACTATTTATACTAATTATTAACTTTTGTACGGAAGCTCACATATGTTAGATGACAAATATACTGGTTTCATGATAATCAGCAACACTACTACAATTTTCCATTTGGAAACATACCCTGAGAATACTTGAAAGAACTTTGTATGCCTTCTTCTGGATCAAACCTTCAACACCCTGCAACTCAGGACCATCTTACTCTTAGTAGCTTTAAACTATCCAATTCAAAAAGATTAGAAAATTCTTGCTCCATAAACAACGAATCGCTATCACAAAACAGGAAGGTCGACATACCTTTAGCGCAGGCTTTATTGAAACAAATAAAAGATCAATCTCTTTGGCATCTAAGCCAGGCAAAAGAGAAACTGCCAAGTCAAAGAATTTTGCCCTACACATGAAAGAAAAATGTAGAAAGTCAAATGCAACGTAAACCTAACATGTTACCACTCCACATATTCTAGTCGACACCTAGAAGTAGCTAAGCTCGGAGAAATATATAGGGTAAGCAGTGCAGAAAAAACCACCTTGCTAGAGACAGTGAACTTTTATTCGATGATGTTTGTGCTTTGACAGCCTCTTGAGTCACCTTCAAAAGCTGTAGCATTGTAGTCTTGAAGAGATCTGTGACTACTTTTTTATCTGATATTGAAGCCAATTCACCAATTGTGTTCTGCATGAGGTGCAAAAATAGTTGCATGCTAAGCCAAAAGCTCAGAAGAAAAAGTCAATGGAGGTATTCATAAACACAAAGAAGATGACCCTCAACCATATGCCATCATAACTAGTCCCAAGTAACTGACATTAAAAGTTTATTATGGGAACTTTTTTGTTACATGTTGTGCTTTGTGGTTACATTTTTTTTTTTTGGGGGGGGGG